CTCTCAGGCAGTGGGGCTGGTTTTTCATTAACCTGTTTTTATGCTCTAATAACGAGGAACAGGGCTCGCTTTCCCCTTGGTGTTCCTCAGCGTGGACCTCTGATCCTCCGTAGCCACTGGGCAGTGGCCCTTGGCCTGGCTTGGGAAGCTGTGGGCACTGTTTTTTTGGGGGAAAACTCTGTCCATGTGATTCACTTCAGTAAGAAAAGAGTCGTGATAGCTACTTCTGCCCTTAAAGATGAACAGGTACTCGGGTGCCAAGGAAGAACGGTTTGGTGATGAGCTTTGCTTGCTTGTCGTGTGGAATCAAAGATGTAGTAACTGCTATTGTGTCTTTTAATCCACTAGCTGAGTATGGATTTAACTAGGTCTTGCAAGGCACGTTAAAATCAGGTGCCCTGTCAAAAACACTTCCACATCATTTAACTGCTGCGTTAGCAGGTAGCCTTTAAATGACTAAGGAGAGAAAACTGGTTAAATGAGTGGTTTAAGAAGGCTGATGAAACTACCAGCATCACGTTCTTAAAGGCAATGTAAAGAAATGTGGAAACGTTTGGATTATTGGGAGAAGCAGCTAGAGTCTTCAAAACTTGCTGAGAGGCTCCCAGTTTTCTGGAATTATTTTTCAACTGAACTGTTGTGTGGGGACATCCCAGAGGATGGTCACACTCTCTCACTCACTGAGGCATACTGAAAAGAAAAGGGCTTTGGAAACAAACACAGTATTTTGAAGTTATTTTCAACAAACCCCTCAGTAATTCTCTCATTCCCTGTGTCCACAGAACACGATTCAGTTTTCTCTTTAATGGACTTGATTATTTTATGCCTATTTTCTTGGTCCTAAGATGAATTGATAGTACTGATAACTCTTGTCCTCGGCTTAATTTCAAAATATTTGGCTTTGGTTTTTTTGTTACTGTTAAGAAACCAAACAAACCTGCACTTACAGAGCATAACAAATCCCTTGAACCATAGGGGCTGGTTTTTTTCAATGATCTTCCCCGTTTCTGGATGGTGGTAGAATTTTAAAACTATACATTGGCTTACTTAAGGTACCTTCTATCTTTAGATTATCAAGGGAATGTGAAAATTAATGGTGTAAAAAAAAAAAAAAGTAGTTTTAAACATTCATTAATGAAGTGGAAAAGGAGAAAGTTTCTTCGAGGAAATATTTCTCTCCTTAAAAAGAAAGCTTGAGACAAAAAATGTGCCAAGTTTTTAAGGCTAGGCCTAATGCTATTTTACTGCTAATTTTTTTTTCCATATGGACATCCTGATTTTTCCAAGCTAACAGAATTACCACTAATCAGCTGCAACTGCCAGCATTTTAGGTTGACAATTTCATAGGAGTTCTTGTTTCAGAAAACTAATCTATCTGACATCAAGTCATTAGTAAGCTTTGTGGTATGGAATAAGTGTAAATTTCAAGGTTTAAGGTTTTTTTTTTCAAAATACATCTTGATTTTATGGTTGCAGAAGATGAACTGAGCCAATGTCTTCGAAATTACTTGAACCACTTGTATTATTGCTCTGTAATCTGTTGTTTTGCTTAGACTACGGTTCAGAAAAATCAGTTTATAAAACCAAGTAACTTGGGCTGCCTGTCAGAAAGATTCTAGATAATTACCAAATACTCCTGTCTTGGCCCAAAAGGAGGGTGACCTATGGAGTAATTATTTTCTGGATTCCCTTATCAGAGAATGTCTTGCTACTTTGGTTCTACAGCCAACAGACTCTCTGCTTTAAATGGGTACTTTGTGAGTCTCTCTCAACCCGATATAATTTTTTTTTATTCTCTATAGAAAGAAGGTTTTAGGCATTTTGTTTCCCCACAGGAAATGTGCAGTATGTCCTTCTGATTTTTCTTCTGCTACGGAAGTTTTAAAATAGTTATGTTAAAGAAAGTTAACTTTATTTTTGGGCCCTCAGCTTTTCCTCCAAAATTTGAAATATAAAGTGATACTGGAAGAGAAACTTTGGGGCTTGTCATAAGCTTTTTGTTATGATCCTCTTCTATAGATAATAGTAGAGTTCTAAGAAATATTTTGATTGAATGTAAGAAATACTTTGTTTAGAATCACTTATGTGCTTCATTTTGCTAACTCTATTTTCTTCCTTTCTTAATCTTTTGAATTACTCTTGCTACTTTTCAAGTTTAAATTGAAGTGCTCAGATACCAAGAGGGCAGTCTAATTGCAAAATTAGACTTGTTCTGTGAATGAATTTGTGAAAAAAAAAAAAAAACCCAAACAACCCAAAATCCATGGTGCAAAATAATTTAAATTATGTTCTTCTTGAAGATGAAAAGCAGCTATATGTTGGTAAGGAAAGAACAGGCTCTGATGGAATGAGGATTAAATAACCATGTGATTATTCCTCCTCTGCCTGTCCTGAGCTGACGTTCGTGTGATCAGATGTGTCCCGCTATGCATACTAAATTAAATTGAGCACTTGTGAAATACTACTTGCTAGCAGGGGAAGAGTACACGTTCCTGCGTGCAGTTAATGGAAGTGCATTAAGTTGTTTATTAGTGTTTTGCCCTGACGGGTAACCACTGTACTACTCCTGTGTTCTCTGTTCTCCTTTCTTCCACTGTTTGGTTTCAGCCAGTGGAAGTATTCTCTTGTCCCACTTGTAGTCTTAACATGTAAAAATTATTTTTTTTTTAAGTGCACAGGCATTGCGCAGTTGCAGTGACAGCTTGACAGCTTCACTCTCTGTGATTGTAAAACCTGTAGTAGATCTAAGTAGATGAGACTGTTTTGTCATAAAACTTGATTTAAAAAAAAAAAAATGGTTTTTTTCATCCTTGATCTGTTTTTAGCAACTTCTCTGAGCTCTTAACAGTGTCAGTAAACAGTGCATAGATTAAAAATGCTATTGGAGGAGGCCTCAAAACTGGTATTTCAGATGAAGGATGTGATGAACAAGTACGGGAAAATCAATCCTGGAGCAAAGCTCTTGATAATTCTTTCCATCGGAGCTTGGTCTGTCTTCTGAAATACTGAACTGCTGCTGCCTTTTTCATTTTAAAATCTTCTGTCTGTTGTGACTGGGTATTCTCATACATACAAATGACTCCCCCGCCCCCGGTCTCCCAACCTACTGAATTATTTTCACCTCATTACTTTGTGGCAGAAAACGTTGGTTGCGGCATGGGGACAGCGCTTCCAAGTGCTTGCTTGTCCCCATTGGCTCAAAAGTCTTAATTAAAAAGTGTCTGTCTGAGCTGACAGCCGTAGTGATGTTGGGAGGGCCTGTCTGCTGTGAGGGCAGGTAAAGCTCCGGCACGAGCTACCTGTGCTGTAATCCGCCTCTTCGCTTGCTCTGTAGCTGGGCTCCACGAAGAGCATTGCTACAGAAGTTTGCATGCCGAAACAGAGTTTTGCAGTTAAGGTTTTCCTCTGAGCAGTGAGGTATGGTCTTGGGTTTCCCAAAAGTCCATCGCAAATCCCCAGGTAAAAGAGTAAATCACTTAAATGAGCTTTTGTGGGGGTTTAGATGCTAGCGTCGATTGTGAGCAGTGAAATAGGTTCAAAGAAGTGTACAGCTATTTTTAATGTAATTAGAGAGACAGTTTGCCTTTGGGATCATTGTGTACAAGAGTGTTGGAAGAATCTATACAGGTGACAGTCCCAAAGAAGATGTCTTGAACTGCTCCTGAGCTCAGGTCTGAATTTGCAAGGCTGGCACTTGCAGAAAAATAGAGCTGCCTTGTTCTGTGATTTCAGTTTTTACCAGTCTGTAAACTCTGCCAGTTTTAATCAGCTTTCAGAGCAGAACCATGCTCTGACTGATGGCATGATGGAAGAAAAAAAAAAAGGTTATCCTAGGAAATTTTAGTAGAAATATAATAGAAAAATCAAGTTTGGAAGATCAAGTTTATGGATGTTAAACTTCTGTGTCTGAATTGAGTTTAGTGCTGTATGTGGAGTATGTGGTCAGATAACACTGCTTCTGTTCCAATATGGATGTCGTGCTGCTTGCGTAGCTATTAAAATTTATACTGAAGCTCCATTATTTAGTAATAAAAGACACTAAATAGCTTCTACGGTATGGCTGCGTTGATTTCTATATCTCTGAGTAGATTAAAAGTAGTATGTTATCTGTCTTTTCTTCCTACATCCCCTGTTATATAGTGGGTTTGGCATCAGCAAACCTGGAAAACAGAATTGAAAATTAGATGCAAATACCTTGTCACTGTTGTCACCAAAGCGTGCTTGTTTTAAGCTCGTGAAAACTACCTCGTGGGGCACAGCTTGATGGGATTTCTGCTCGCACGTGTGACCTCATCCTTAAATGCACGGTATAATCGATACCAAACATTCGAGGAACCCTTGCTGAGGCCGGAAAGGGAACAAGAAGTTGAAGCTAATAAAAGGAGAAAATAACATTTCAGCATAAGAATACTGTATTTTTAGAAAAGTCCCAGTAGACTTGCAAAGTTACTCCCTTATTGCCTCTTTACTGCTTCTCCAGGAAATGGAGGCTCTGCGAGGAGAAGAGCAGTGGTGGAGCTCCTAGAGCTTCTGAAGGTAGAAAGCTCGCCTGGGAAGAGGTGCGGGATGCCCCAGAGCGATTCTGAGTGTTTGGCCTACAGGTGCTTCAACGTCTGTGTCCTGCAGTGTACGACTTGATCTTTAGTGCTTCTGCTTGTTCTTCTTCCCATCCCACGTTCTTACGGAATGATCTTTTACTCCCAAAATACAGGATGATGTTTTTCTTTGTGTTGCATTACCTTAACAGCGCTGGTTGGGTTTTGGAATCTTACCTGAAAAAGCATTAAAGTCCTTCTCTGTGCAAGTCCTAGAAAACATTCCTGGTTTCACTTGTTTGAGATTTTCCTTTTCCTCAGGAATATGGTGGGGGTGTGGGTTTTATTGTTTATTTGGGTGGGGTTTTTTTTTTTTTGGCATATCAAACTTCTATATTGCATGATTTTTTTTTTTTTTTAAATAAATGTTGTTACTCTTTTCTTCTCTTGTTTTTTAATAGGTCCCTTGTAGTTGTCCACTTCTGGGCACCATGGGCTCCTCAGTGTGCTCAAATGAATGAGGTTATGGCGGCACTAGCGAAGGAACACACGCAGGTTACGTTTGTGAAGGTAAGTCAGGTAGCTGAGCTTGTTTCCATCAGAGGGGAAACATTACTCAAACTTGGTAATAAAGTATTACAAAATATGGGTGAAGTTGTTTTTGAAGTTCCTTTATGGCTTCGTGTTTAAAGATGGGAGTTGGACATATGCAAGAGATACATCATAAATCTGCGGGATGAAAGTTCTAGGTTTGTCTTTCCCAACTTGATATTGCAGGCTTAAATAGCACCTTCATTTTATCGTGCTGTTTAAAAAAAAAAAAGAAAAATCAGTCTACTAAATCTATCATTGTATATTTTTTTTTCTCAGTAGCTGCTCCATCTAACAAACAGGCTTTTAAATTTCTCCGTGCCCGCACTGTCTCAGTCCTTCAGTTCTGTAGACAGCCATATTTTTAAAGCATGATTTTTATCCCTGGATTTGAGATTAATTTGGCAGCAGTGTTCTTTTCAGGTGTGCTGGAGATTTTACTTGTTCCCGTGATGTTATTGGTTTGCTAAATAGATCTTGGAGAGATTTTCTGTCTGATACTAAAGATGAACAGTAATCTTCGTGAACTTTAAAGGCAGATAAATTTAAGTCTGTGCAATGCTGTCGCTCTCAGATGACAGTCCTATAGTGCTGGATAGTATCAACACAAATGAGGTGCTATATATTTTTGAGAGCTCCTCTGCACATCCAAGTAAGAGAACCAGTGTGGAGGGAAGAATGAATGCACTTCATCAATGTGCTGCTCATTTTCAAACAACTTTCTCTTGTTAACGAGACACTTCTGTGATTATGAGGGCAGGGAGTGATGGAGCAGCCAGCTGTGTGTGAGTGTTTTAATTTGATTTCTTACAGCCTTTAGGTTTTGTGGGTTTTTTTAATGATTCCTCTCTCAGTTGGTATTTCTTTCTGTAAAACAGAAGGACAGAACTATTTTCATGGTAGTATTTTATTACTTAGCTTCAAAAGGCGAACTTTCAACATTTTGAAAATTCAAGATGCTTAAATTTATATAGAGTTGCTATAGCTTTTAGTAGGCCCAAGAAACCTGGAGAACTCTGTTGCCCCTTTATTCATATTAATGTATTATTTATAACCCTTATTATTCAGCTGTAATTTATTTTTTAATAACAAGATTCCTAAGTGATCAAGTGTTGCAAAACTAAGATAATGGCATCTCCTTCCCCCTGCCCCCTTCTGCCTGATATTCCTGGTGTATTTGTTTAGAGAAAATAAGCTGCCGCAAGACTTAGGTGAC